TGAGATTCTGCTTTGCCAGGTCAGCACAAAGTCAGTCTTTTACTAGTAATGCAAAAATCATACATACTAGACTACAAAATATGTAATAATCTGTGATTCTTTTCAGCACATAAAAAAAGACATAGGAAATTTTCATAATACAGATACATTTAAATGCTTTAATCAGATGTACATAGATGAGGCAGAGGTTTGAACGTGACTCAAGGGATGAAAGAAGCAGCAAGATAAAAGGTATCTAACATCAATAAAGAAGAAAATAACATGCATTTTTTGCAAAACAAGAAGTGATCTAGAGAAAGTTATCCAGGAACTGCTAATGGTAAATCAACTACCTGCGATTTTTTAAAAGTAGTAGCAACAAGAGAATGAAAGAGGGAATTAAGGCATGACAGACAGTAGGAATGTCTCATACCTAGGCTGAAGATAATTTTGAACTCCAAACAATGAGTGAAGAAGCTTCAGATATACAAAACCATTTTAATAATTTTTAAAAAATTAAAAAATATTCCAAGAATAAAGTACTGGGATGACTTATCTTTCCAATAAAGATGAAGAAGATTGATTAAGAAACGTAGACAAGATCAAGAAAAATTAAACTTAGTGAAATCTCCAGTGGCAGGACATGCAGTTAAATAAATGAAGTAATTGTTAAGTGCCTTTTGGAAGGCAAAAGGATAACATTAAATAAGACCTTAGAGCTCTTGCTGTGATCTGCTAACACTGAAAAAATTATCCCTGACAAAACCAGAACAGACAACTGATGAAAGCAGGGAAGGATCTCTGAGAGACAAAGAAAACTGTTAAGAGCTGCCTGATGGCAACTCTCAGTTTCTGTGATTTTAAATGCAAAGCAACATCTACTTCATGGTACCTATGAATTTCCTACTATTAATCCAAATGTTTTGCCACAGCATGCTATGTAAACCTCTCAGAGTCACTGTATTTACACAGAAGTTAAACTTTATGCACTCATGCTTTCTATTTGACCACCTTAGAGTATTCTATCCCTTCATTCACTATATAAAATAGAAAATTAGAATAATTAGAATAAAAAATAAAGTATAAACCTATTTCTGATTTCTCAGATTAGTAGTAGCTGTCACTCTTCTTAACAGTCAATTGATTCTGCTTGCTGATTATTTGATGTTCTGGCCTCTAAACCTTACAGCTGTCTACAAAACTTTTTAAGATGTCCTGTAAACTATCCACTTTACTGACTCTATAGGTAAGTAGTAAACGCAGCTCCATGGGAGTAGAAGTGCAACTCCTTTAACTGTACCCTCCATGCATGATTTCATTTTTCTATTTGTAAAGTGTCATCAAAATATTTACAACTGCAGTTGCCTTTCTCTCCTCAAACAAAATGCTCAAATTAATTAGGTATGAAAGTTCTGTCAAGTCGACAAGAAAATCTCTTTCATATACTGTCTGATGCCTGTGCTGGGTTTGTGTGTGGTGGGGGTTGTTGGCATCAGGGGAGGGGGCTACACTGGTGGCCCCTGTGAGAAGCTTCTCAAAATCCCCCTGGCTCCAAGTTGGATCCGCCTCTGGCCAAAGCCGAGCCAGTTATTGACAATGGCTGCACCGCTGGGATGATGTATCACACTGAAACCACACTGGAGCAGGGGAAGAGTATGAGAAGTCCTCACCCTAAGGAGGAAGGAGTAATGACTGATCCCCTTCCCCCCTGCACTGCTGGTGGGGAGGAGGTAGAGAAATCAGGAGCAAGGCTGAGCCAGGGAAGAAGGGAGGGGTGGAGGGAAAGCGTTTTTAAGATGTGGTAGTGCTTCTCTCTGTCTTACTCTGTCTGTTAAGTGCTGCTGTTAGTGTTTGAATTATGTTGATATTCTTTTTCTTCCCTTAATGAATCAATCTTTTGCCTATGACCATAATGGGTGAGTCATTCCTCCCTGTCCTTATCTGGATTCCTGAGACTTTTTACTTCATTATCTCCTTCCTGTTCCCAAGGGGGAAGGGGTGAGTGAGTGGCTTCGTGGTGCTCAGTGGTGCTCAGCTGCCCTCTGGGCTCAAACCAAGATACCGTCCCAGGCATCACAAAACACTTCATAAAGTAGTTCAAGAAGGAGGCTTGCAGCATCCAGCTACCAGTGAGAAAGGTGGGAATTTAACTATATTGGATACACTGGAAGGCTAGACTTTCCTGTTGATCTGGTCCATTCATGCTAAGTTAGATCTCCCTGGTTCATTGCGTGCAGTTTTAAGGTGTATAAGGAATATTATGACACTGAAAAACAGACAAACCAGAACTCGGTTCCACACCAGTCTTTAGTGTGGAGATGCACAGGAACAAACTGCCACCTGCGCATCAGCACACAGTTCTCTTATATGACTCCTGACAGTCAGTTCAACTATGATTTCTACAGCCAGAGTTAGGTTATGCCCCAGAATGAACTGCTGATGTACCCTGTTAACATGGAAAGCTGACATTTAAAAGCTGCTAATGAAAGGAAGTTAGTAAATTATGAGAGGTGGGATAAGGACTAAGACTCTACAGCTTCCTCCAAGGAAAACAGGCTATTATAGATGACAGGCACATTAAAAATAATCAGTGAAAAAGCATGCATCTTATATCTATAGGGCCACAACAGCCAGAAATCTTTGTGCCAAAGGCAGAACACTCTGACTTCTACATAAGCCTAGAAGGTTTATATGCTGACATCTGTTAATTCCCCACACAAGATGGGAATAAGAAGATTGCTGTGATATCTGCTGTACAACAGCACCATTCCTTCCGCAGCCTTCCCTGACAGATGCCGTATTTTGCTTTCTGATGTTCACACCCACAATTCATTTTACAGGCACCAAAATCCCTGTTGCAACAGAAGTAGCAACAAAATATTAAAATAAATCAAAGCTTTCCTACGGTAGCTATGCAAATATCACAAGTCCATAAAATGAACATTAATCAATGAGTGTATTTTTATTATGGCACATATTATAATAACTAAAGAAACTACTAATTCTGTGAGACATTCAGACTGTAATATATACATTTTGGATTGTATGGAGATTAAGAACAGCATCATGGCTATAAAACTGAATGGCTATATGTGATTCTTGGCCTATTATGTAAACTGATCACATGAACTGAAAAGATTTTCTCTGAAGAATATTCAGTTCAGGATATTTCAGAAGAAAGTCAGAATATCAGTACTCTGGTTTTACAACACAGTAGTTGGGGAATTTTTGTTTTTGTGCATGAAGGTCTGGAGAAAGCAGAAAAGTAAATTCCACATGTGTTTACTTACCAGAATGTAAAAGTAATGGAATCTGAAATTGGTTACGTATCAAGATATACATGGGGAAAATTAGTGGCAAATTGGTGAAATTTTTATTTTTCGTAATATTTGGCTAATCAGCACTGAAATCTTCCTTGGACCAAAAAGCCACAAGGAAGCTCATGAAGAAGTAACATGGGCAGCCGCTTCTCTCTGCAAACGGGGATTTGTAGTAGGCAGAGCTAAGGGAGAAAGAATGAGGGTGATAATTCCATGTGCTTCCTAATTATGATGCACAAGCACCTTAACAAAACATTCTTCTTCAAGACCTTACTGTATTACCAAAACATTCCTTAATTCTTTAATGAGTGCCTATATATATATATATATATATATAACAATGAAATGCTAACTTGCAATCTATGGTATTGATTATTTTTGTGCTAAAAAAAGAATTGTAATCATGGATGTATTTTTCATAATATTTTCATTTCATAAAACAAGTAAATTCTGATTTTTAGTCATTATTCATATCTTATTCAGTTCTATCTTTAAAATAATAAATCTAATTTCATGCTCAGCTCTATTTTATTAATAGGGTGAAAAAAGAAAACTTGCAAAAATGTCCACTTGCCAAATTAAATGTTACGTTCTTAATGTATGTTTTCTCATTTTAAAAGGCTTTTTTTTTTTCCTTTTCTTACATTTCCTCATAGTTTATATGACTATGTAGACAACATATTTTCAAATAGAAATTAAATAGGAGACATAAAACCCACTGTCATTCATTCAGACCTATACCGGTATATCGATCCTGTTGATGAAGACTGAAAACTCCATCATGAAATTAAGAAAAAATAGTAACCACCGATGGTTATTTCAGGAAAAAAAAAGGCATCCTTTCCATGTCTAAGAAACTAGGTTGCCATATATACTATTTCAAATTATCACTAGGGTTTATTTTATGTGGAGTTAGATCTATCTATAAGCAACCCTGTATTTTCCAACCCATGATTAGGTCATGACTTTGCTGAGGAAAAGTGTTAATTGACATGAAGTAGCTAAAACCGTCTCGGCTACAGCTTATCCAGAAATGCCCATAAAGAATCTAGACTGAAAGTATAATTTATCAAAATAGAAGTAATCAAATATTTTCAAAAGGCTGATCAACTTGCACCAAAATACACTCTTTATCCCAGGAACAAATCTAAGCCTGTACCTTCTATCCAGTATTTTTCAGAACATCCTTAGTGAAGTATTGAAAGCTCTGGTACTTCTCCAGCATACTTAGAAAACGCCATAGTATTTTTTGAGCCAGCCTTGTGGTTAAAACAAATGGATTTTTTTTATTTATTTTTTTTTTTTAGGAGAGCTTCCTAATTATTTGGAAGTAATAGGAGCAGCCTAATGATGAGGATACTCTCAGGAAGGGAATACCCTCCCATTTTGAAACAAAATATTTTTGCAGAGAAGAGTTCAAGATAGATGGAAGAAAGGAAAGAAGAAGCAATGCTACCTCATAGATTAGGGGTCATAGGTTTCCCGAGTTTCATGACAGAATAAGAATATTTGTGTCTTCTTTTTTTTTCTAACAGCTGTTTCAATATTCTTCTCCATTTTACTGGAAACATACAATAAATTATTTAATATAGTTGCAATTTGAATTTTAAGTTTTGTAAAATAATTGCTTTAATTTTTAGGTCCATGATGCTTTTAAACAACACCAACAAAAATTATACTAATTAAAAAAAGCCCACTTACCTGATGAGATGTCTATTCGGTTCTTCTTCACTTGGGTGACGTTGATATGGACGCTGACTTTGCCCTCATTTATGTCAATCTCAACATTCCCCAGGTCATCTGCAAAGTGGCTGAAGACAAGAAGTCCACTGGGGTTCCAGGTTCGGAAAAGGAAACTGACTGAAAATAGATCCTGGCTTGGACGACCAGGAACCTCAAGGTAACTGGTGGCATTGAAAAAGACAGGCACTGTATGTGGCTCCACACAAGCAAAACTTAAATTTCCCTAAGTAAAACAGGAAAAAAAAAAAAAAAAAAAAAAAAAAAAAAAGTATTCTAGGTTTCATTCAACCTAGAGACTACTGTGACCAATGCAAGTTGCATGTAAAAATGTGCTATTAATATTATCATTATTGTTACTATGATAATGTTGGTGCTGATGTTTCTGCCTTGCCTAGCAGTGGCCCCATTATATTTTGTACTGTACATACACACATTAAGAGGCAGTCTTTGCCCTGAAGAGTTATAGTCTAAGATAAAGCTTAGATGAAAGCATTAAAATTCCCAGTTCAAAGATGAAGAAATGAATCACAGAGAAACTTCGGCTTGTTTGTGGTCACCAAAGAAGTCTATAACAGAGCAGTAATTAATCCTTTTATAAAAATGAAATACAGCTTTCCAAATAGCCTTATATCAATGTGTCAATCGATACAATACATGAAGTTGTGAGTGAAGGATGTATAACACCTCATGAAGAGCTAGGCTCTCTGTTATGTTTTCTACTGGATAATGCTAGATAAACTAATATTTTATTTCATGAAACAGAAAGATTTGGAGTAGGTGAACATGAACAATGCTTAATATCTGTAGTTAGTCAATAATTTTCTCTGTAAAAGAAACTGAAGTTTTCACTCTCTAAAATTTTACTCTTTGGGAAATTGACAAAATTCAGTCAACTTTATTGATTTCCAAGGCTTTAAAATGTATCTGTAAACAAGACTAGAATTAGGGACATGAATTTTTCACTCTGATTCTCATGTCATCTCTCACAAAAGACCACAGTAGTAGGATGTATTACCATTTTTTCCTCAGAAATTGTAAATAATTTGTAGCAATCTCTGTTCAGAATTGATTTTTTTTTAATGCATCAATGCAAATATAAGAGGAAAACTTCCTCTGCTGAAGAATTCTTTTAACATGTAGCAAAGTGGATCCTGTTCTGTGGTTAGGTTTTGTGATGCACTGCAGCAGATGGATATTCTGTGGCAATTTCAGTTCAATTTCGGAAGGAAGAATTTTATGTGATGCAGGATGGAAATCATTACTATGATCAAGATATTAACTCCTTTGATATGTATTATACATTATAAAAATACTAAGGATTGAACAACATTTTTGGAAGTGCCTAGATCTTTAGAGATGAGGTTCACCTAAGCACTGTTCTGAATCCCAATAGGAGTTAGTCATCATCTTTATCACATAAATATTTTTAAACTCCACATTACTGACTTCCTGATATAAGCTTTTATGTCACATATTTTTGTATTTATAGTGTGTAAATGTATCTGAAAGTTCATCTTGATGGAAGTTAGTAAATTTGGAAGCAAGATAGGAACTTTGTGAAATTGTGTGGGAGGAAAGTAGTAAGTAAATTTTTTTTAGAAGTAATTATTTTCAATTGGAGATGGGCTAGATGACATCAGTGAGGAATCAAGATTTAGCACTCATTTACCGATGTCCAAACCCATCACTATGTAAAAGAACAACACATCAGAGAACATCTTACTTGTGTCATAGCAAGATACCACCTGTGTGGCAGATTCAGTTTCTTCTATAGTATTTCTATGTCAAAACTAAATGAATAAAAATAATAGTTTCTTAAGCAGTTGGATAGATTGTTACATTACTCTGCATAACCATCTCTTTTTTTCCTACAGAGTATCAGAACTTACACTGTCACACGGTCTACCTATAAATGCCAGTAGAACTAATAGCAACTAGGCTATCATGTTGGCAGCCTGCATCATCAATTAAGAAACACTGATGTTCCCAATAATCTGGAACTAGAGAAGATATTTCTTTATACTGATATCCTAAAAGATTTGTTCCTATATGATAAAATGTCAGCATTTCAAACCATGGTCTTTTATACACCCATGTTCTATGGATATCAAAAAATATCCAAGGTTTTAGGAAAATAATTAGCTAAAACAACTATAGGAAGCTTTTAAATTACGGTGTGAATGAGTGAAATTACAACTGCTTTCTAAGTAAAGGCAAAGGATCTCCTTTGCTGATAAATTGTTTTGCTATTCTGTTTGGGTGTTTGTTTGTTGGTTTTTTTTTTAGTCTAAATGTTGCCTAGAGATTTTAAGTTTTCAGCCTACTAAACATTAAATCAAAGTAGTTAGCTCATTTGTTTGAACAGTTTTAGTCTGAACATTTCCAAGTGTGCTACAGAATACTCTTGGTTAGACCACAAATTTTACATGCAGAAAAAAAACCAACCCTGGAGAGTGGCTGAAATACCCTTTGTAAACCTTTGTTAACATTCCCAGTGTAATAGTCACCCTATGGATTAGAAATCACTTCTATAGTTAAGGCAGTCCTGTGTAGACACAAAGGGCAACAGCATTTTCTAGAAGCTGACATCTCACACTTGAGTCACAGATGCCAATTTAGTGCATTTTGTTAGATATTTTTAAGAGTTTCTCTTGCTGCCTTGTTACTGTGAGGAACTAACAATTTCCTCATAACAAGAAGGCTTTCATATCCAATTGACACTCTCCTGTCATCCTGATGCTTTGGATACTTGCATGTATAACACCTATTACTCTTAATGGCACTGAATGCTTTCAAATCCTTTTTCACATCAGTGAATGCATTTATCGTGAACAGCCTAACTGCATAAAAGATTTCGTGAGGAAGTAACACGTAATTCTAATTTCTCTACTAGTTAGTACTTTCTCTATTGAGCTATTTAGATTAATCTGAACTGGATTAGTGATTCCCTCTATGACTGTAATTCACAAGGCAACTCCTTTTTAAGTAAAGCCCATATGGCATTGATCGCTCATTAGATCTAGATTAAAAATTTGAGCTAATCTGCAGTTTGAGTCTATAATGGCATCCCCATATTTCCAAGAGAAAGAGCTCCTTTTCTCCACATTCAGAGTGACTTACTGAAAAGTCCTCTGGGCAATGACATCTGGAAGTTAAACACATACTGTGCACTTATGCTGAAACTGTTGGTCTTATCAGACAAATTTTTCATACTACTTTAGAAGGGAAATAGTGAAAACATCTTAATTTGGGTTGTTTGATCTTTGTATTACGATCTTTAATCTGTGCTGCAAATTAGCTTCATGTTTACTTCTTATAAATCCATTTTGCCTATCCGCATTCAGATGTCATCCCTTGTGGAAATACTACTGGGTTTTAGAAACCTTTCCCAATTAATAGGCTTACTGGCTGAATACCTAGTTTCCAAAAGAGAGGTAATGAGTTTAATAAGACTACAGTACCTGTTAAATCAGAATGTACCCACTACATCAGAACACAGTACTTGTTAAATATGGTACAGGCAATGTATTGTACGGTAATGTTTATCATGTTATTTCAGCATTTTTCTCAAAATAGCTTATTACCCATCTTTGAAGGTAACATAATGCTCACTTAATATGACGAATTTAAAGAAAGCACTCATCTTCTGTGTATATATGATTGTGCTCAGTAATACATGGCATGGAAGCTGCAGAAGTGGGTGGAGCATAGACGTAGTGGCTGTAAGGATGGGGGAGAGCAACTATGATTCTCCTCAGCATTTTTCAGTTACAGGCTTTAAAATTGGAGACACTGTTCTTTGGAAACTAAATCTGATTAGTATTCACACTGCCTGCCCTTAACATACCTCTGAATAGGAAAACTTGATAAAGTGACTAAATTCCTAAATTCAAATTTCTCTGTACTTCTTCGTTAGCTGCACATTCTAGTCTCATCTCGCTAGTTGTACAAGGGTCAATATTCTTCAGTGATGCAATGGAATGGAAGTCCTACAAAGGTTGTTATATTTTAGTACAAAACACAGAAATGATGGACTGGGACATTGTTTACAAGCACTTTCCCTGTTTCTGTCTTAGTCCTGAGTCAAGTTGTATACAGGAGTTAGCACTTACTGTGCTTGTTAGTCACTGCCAACTCTGGTTTGTAAGTTGGTTCAGGAGAAAAGCAGACACTTACGTTCCCTGTCTCAGCTGTCCTTTTCTGCCCGACTTTCCATTTAGGGCATCTTTATCATTTGCCTCTTTTATCTTGTATGAAAACAAATCAGGATCCACTAATAAGAACAATAACTGTTCAAGACCATCCAACTCATTTTCTCAAGGAGTTGTTGCCATCTTAAATATCACAAAGGGCTGCCAAATATTTTTCCCCTTTATTCTTACATCTAAATCTAGAAAAACCCCGTTATTAAAGTCAGTGTTGGACTTTATTTAAATTTAAAATAATTTTAAATTTTCTTTACATCCTTACTCTTCAATTAATTAAAGGATCCTTGGTGGTGCTTTTTTTGCTCATAACACCTATGTATATGAGACCTAAATTTTTTTTTTAACTTTAATTTTGTTCAGGGACAAATCAAGAGATCTTCTTTGGTTCTCTGCCCATCCTCATTCTAAAAATTAACTTGTCAACTCCCTTTCACTGTATGACTTCTGAAATTCAGCTATCTGCATCTAAGAATATTTTTTTCGTCTGTCTCACGCCTCTTTAATATACTTCTTCCCTCTGACTTTTTTTCCCCCTTAAGATACTTCTCATCATCATGCTGATTACTTTACTTGTGTTTCACTTTATTACATTTTGTCTTTCTTGCCTCTTCAGATAATATACACCGCTGAGGGCAGGGTGTGCCTACTATTACAGGTTTGTACAGGATTTCCTACAATGTAGCTTTGATCTTGTTGGATTGCTTAAGTGCCATCATCATAAACATGATTAACTACAACAGTAGTCTCAACCAAGTGTATTTTTCATGCTAAATCAGGCTAAAAACTATGAGAAAAAAGCTTTTGTAAGAAACATAAAAATCCATGTTGATTTAGTTAAAGTAAAATTGATTTTGCTTTTGAAGAGCTGAAGCAATTTAAGTAATTCTACTGAAAACAAAGGTCATTTCTATTTTTATAGCTATTCTCAGAATTAGAAATCAACAGAACCATCAAATTAAACTATCATGCCATAGACTCTTGATGTAGTAGCAACACTGTCAAAGCTTCTTATGTAGATTTTACTTTCATGTTACAGGTAACAGAATTTTAAAAACAAACAAACAAAAAACCAGAGAGATGATTTTACAGAGACTTTACAGGCCTGCTAGCTATGCCATACTTTTGAAAGGATTGGATTTGCACTACATAAACCTCTTAAGTAACACCTCTGTTCAGAAAGAGGCTTTAAGAATATGTCCTACTAAATTTGACTGTGCAAAATGGAAAGATTGTTCCTGTACAAATATCCTATTCTAAATCAGGCATCAATCTTTAAAAATCATCGTTACATTACAAGTTTAAAATGCACTGTAGGCAGGAAATCACAGGCAATTTTTGAAAAAAAAAAAAAAAGTAAAAAATTCAGGAGTTCATGTGACGGGGTCAAAAAAAATTCTAAAAGTAGAATCTTCCTCCATAGCGTATATGTCATGCTCTTTGCCTTTGACAATATTGAAGAAATTGTTGTATAGCAAAGGTTCTATCAGGCTGTATTAGAGTTTGTAGAGGCAAACATGACAGATTCAGAATTATCCTTCATATTACCTTGATCATTTAGCCATATTGTTCATACAATTAAATGGAACTTCAATATTACTATCCAAGGACTAATCAAATGGGAATCAATCCTTGCACCTCATCACCACTACATATGTAAATCTTTACTCTTTATTACATAAAGAGAAAAGCAATCGTGGAAACATACGTATTATTAGCAGGACTTTGGAAAGGCTGTAAACTTGCACAGAAGAAAGCCTTGAAGAACTTATTCAAACCATCTAAACTCATGGCAATAATACATTTAATTCTTACCCACATCACCTTTATATGCCAGCAACCCATTTTAGGAACATTCAAAGCCTTTAAAATACAGTAATTGAAGTACATTCTTTCTTAATCACCCTGCCCATAAAAGCCACAAGTATGAAAATGAAAGCAACTATGAATGCTTAAGCAAGAGAAAAAAATAAGATAAGATGTAATGTTAATAAGCTAAATAATGATTTTCAAGTTTAATATCTTGAGGCTTTTCAGAGCTACCAGAAAGGCCTGTAGAAACATTCCCTTACAATGATTTTTGCACTCCAGCAATCTAACTAGCTCTGGAGGGATGGAACATACCCAGATTTAAAGCCACAAGAAAGCTGCAATTGATTTAATAATAAATCTTGACTGTGCAGGTTTTGGACTACTATAATTTGGGAGGAAAGGAAAGAAGTACTTATTGGTTCAGATGGTTTTCTTTTAAAGAGTAGTTATCTGATCCTGGAGGTTAATTTTGGAAAGATGAAATGGGAACCCAGAAGTAAAATGCTCAGACATAATAATTAAAAAAACCCCCTCATAAACATATATATAATAGATCTTTGGGTATGTGATAAAATTTGGTTTGTGTTCTGTATCATTCCAGTATATCACAAGGATATCAGCTACACATAGTCACAAACCTTCTAGTCTTTAGAAGGAGAAGCAGAAGTTTAGATGATCGTTAAATTATGCTCTTACCATATTAGAAGGTTCCAATTTCTTCCTCTTGGCAAGGTCAGTGATATTATTGCCATTGTAGTTGATGCTCTCCATGCAGCCTTTAAAATTCTTCCTACTGTTAGAACTTGGCTTCCCAGAAAAAGGCATGCCTCCAAAGGTTATCTTTGAATGAAACAGAAAATGGTGGATAGTTACTGGAGGGCAAAGACTTTTAAACAAAATTGCTGTAGAAGTATTTGCTCACTTTGAACACTCAAACAGGGTGAATGAGAGAGCTGGCAACACTGCTTACAAAAGAAAGCATCAAATAAGCACTGCAATCATAGAAGAAAAATCTGTAATGAATTTGTGATTGCAAATATTTATGGTAGCAAATCCCAAGTATTATTACAATTGTCCAAATAGTGAGCAGACACACATCACAGTTGTTCATATATGGACTGCTCTTCTGATCATTACTGAACAATACATATTTCAAACAAAGAATTTGAAAGAAATGTCCATCCCAGTATTTTTCTAAATGACAGTAGACATGAAATGAGCTGGATAACCTGATTCAAATCATTAATTCAGCTCTAACTGTGTGTCAGAGCCCAGACTGCAACACAGCAGTGGTGGCTCTAATATGATGCATTTGTTTCCTTTAATACTTACATATCTACTTTGTCCTGAGCATTTTTACAGTATCACATAGTTAAAGATGCTATCCCCTTTAGACAGAAGCACCTTCCACTACCGAGAACATGCTGTTATCGTGTAGTTATAGCCAATGAGGAGTTACCACATGACTTGGCAGGCCAAAGCATCTCCACTGAGAAGATGAAGACAACCACTGTAATGACTCAGCCATCAAGGTCAAACAGGAATTGGTTTTCTCTTAATTCTGAATTTCATTATTCTAAAACACTGCATTATCCAGAATCTCTAGTGATAAAAAAAATGAAGAAAACCAAATAATTTGCAAACTAAAAATGTTTGTCTCTTACAAAGTCTCTCCCTGCCACTCCATAGAGACAATAAAGGTCTCTACCACATCAGGGTCTTTTCTGAAATGTTTGAAAGTGAATAAATGCTATATGTTATCATTATTATTTTGCAGCCTAAATGTGAAGAATAAGGAACTCATGAGATCAGTCCCTGCAATCTACGTTAAGTATTTATATCCAATAGATGACGGCATAAATAGTAACGAAACCTAGCTTCCCTTCCCCCATGAATGGTCATAAAAATGTCTGTTTGTAGTCTACTGCTAAGATCTGGCAGAGCCAAGATTTTAAGTATCATTCATTGTTAATTCCATTTGTTATTACTGAGTGCAGGAAATCACAGCTTTAGGGACACACTTTCTGTTCTAAAAGCATGTAAGATATCACTTTCTATCCCGAAGAGGAAGCTTTGACTCGGCATATAGGAAGGACTAAAGCTATACAGCTGAAAACCAAAATCCTTATAAATATCACATACCAGCTATTTAAAAGCATTTTGTGGGACACATCCTCAGGTTTATAAACTGAAAAGACTTAAATTTAGAGAAGATACAGCATCTCACGTGAACTGAAGAATGTGAATGTGCGTATTGGGGTTTTTGTAGCAGGGGAAGGAGCTACAGCAGTGGCTGCCTATGAGAAGCTTCGAGAAGCTCCTCTGTCTCCAAGTGGGACCCACCTCTGGCCAAGGCTGAGCCAATTAGCGACAGTGGCTGCACCTCAGGGATAACGTATTTCATAAAGGGAATCTGGGAAGAGGAGGAGGAGGAGGAGTTGTGAGGAGGACACCTCTGAAAACACCGACCTCAGTGGAAGAAAGGAGGAGGAAGGTGGGGAAGTGTGCCGGAGCAGAGACCCCCCTGCAGCCCATGGTGAGAGGTCAGGCTGTGCCCCTGTACCCATGGAGGTCACTGGTGGAGCAGATGCCACCTGTAGCCCATGGAGGACCCCACGCCGGAGCAGGGGGCTGTGCCTGAGGAAGGCCGAGGCTCTGATGGAAGAAGCCCTGGCTGTTGTAGTTCAGTGCTAGGAGGATTGAAACATGCAAGAGGCATCCACGCTGGAGCAGCTCAGGAAATGGGAAGGACTCACATCAGAGAAAGTTTGTGGAGGACCATCTCCCGTGAGAGGTATGCCATGCTGGAGCAGGGGAAGAATGCAGGAGTCTCTGTGTCCCGTCCTCTGCCCCCCCCACCCCGAGGAGGAAGCAGTGGTGGACTGACTGTAAACCCCATCCCCTGCCCCTCTGCACTGATCGGGAGGAGAAGGTAGAGAAATTGGGAGCAAAGCTGAGCCTGGGAAGAAAGGAGGGGTGGAGGGAGGTGCTTTTAAGATGCGGTAATGCTTCTTACTGTCCTACTCTGTCTGTTAAGTGCTGTTGTTAGTGTTGGAATTAAACTGATGCTCTTTTTCTTCCACCATCGAGTCTGTCTTTTGCCCATGACCACAATGGGTGAATCCTCCCTCTCTGTCCTTATCTCAATTCCCAAGTTTTGCTTTATTTTTTCCTTCTCATCCTTGAGGAGGAAGCAGGGATTGAGTGGCGGCGTGGTACTCAGTTTTCCTCTGAGCTCAAACCATGACAGACTGTAGTATTTGAATGGCTTTCAAACATTCCTTTGCATGTTACAGTCATGTGTTTGGACAAGAGAAAACGGAAAGGAAAGCATTCTGAAGAAGAAAACTGCAAGAATTATGTAGCATGTCAGTAAGCTAAGAGGAACTCATAGGATTATATTTTTTTTACCTTGCAAATGCAATAAAATGAATGTTTATTCCTCTTCTGTGCCTACTTACCTCTTCTGAAAGAAGTTAACCCAGAAACTATTTTTTCTATGAAAAAATCAGATTTATCCACTGTGATTAAGTTATCACAAGGACAATGCTTTTAAATTTAGTATGTGATGACTAACTCCAAAACCAGTGAAATAACTGAGAGGAAAGGAAGCAGAAGAGGTTAAGGCTCTTGCACTTATATGAACCACAGAAACATGTATCCACACACACTTAAAGAAGTTCCATTAAATGCAAGGGGTTCCATGTACAAGGACACTGAAATGTATCTCTGAGAACTGACAGTGAGACCTCTAATGTTAGAGAAGAGAGGACGGTGAATCTCCTGGATTCTACTCTTACTAGAGGTAAACTTATTGTATGCAATGTGTTTACTATGTAAACATGGTACACACACACACACACACACACATATATATATATATATATATATATATATATATATATATACATATATATATACACACACACACACACACATATCTCCTCTCTCTCTGTGAATTGCCCAACCCTGGCTTCTGGCTTTCAGCCTAACTTTTTCTGTGGTTCGCTCACTTGAAAATCTTTTGTCAAATCTATTTATGCGAGCTTTCAGCAGCTCAAAACAGATCTTCAGTGCTCGATGAGTAATAGAGGGACAGGCAAATTTCCTCATTGTTTTCTCATTATAACTGCTACCAAGGAAGGCATTCATAAAGATTTGTTGGAATATAATTAAATATTTGATTCAGTAACATTTACAATCATAATTTTTTTTTTCAAACATTCATATCATATTCTTGATCAAAAGATTGTTTGTAAGAATATCAATACACAAGTTAATTCAAACTTTTCTACATTATATCATTCTGTTTGCCTCTCACTGCTTAAAAAGTTGCAAGGCTGGAAGTGCAGATATTTGGTTCAGCCTGCCACATTAATTCTGATTAAAAACAAGAAAGAGTGAAAGAAGATCATTATACAAAGTTTGTAATAACCAACATGCTGAAGTTCATATAACAATCAGAGGAACTGAGCAAGTTCATAACAGCAGAAGCCAGAATGCAATCAAACAACAAATCCGTGTTTAATTACCAACCATACTTGCGTCCATTAACCTGACAGATTAAACAAAAGTTTTCTTATAACTCTTTATTGCTTCTTTACAAAAAGAAGTTATTGATGGCAAATGCAAAGTACTCACCTATCAAAGACAAGAAAGATCAAGATTTGTATTAGTAAAAACGTTCTAATCTGCTTGCTTTGTTAAAAAGAAATACTTATTGTCACCACAGAATAAGGCATTCTGATTCAAGTACAAAATTATCTCCTAAATGGAATAACAGATTGTATGATTTTTTTTAATCTACTTCTTGCTTACAGCAGCTGCTTTTAGAGATTTTAAAAGTAGTGCATGCTTAGCTTGCTAAATAACATAGATCTCCTATTTTAAAACAAAAGGCTGAGATGACTCGTACACCAGATGGGATCTCGTAGATTAATGAAGAGAAACTTAATTTACACTTAAGAGAGAACAGTGTTGGAAAGAAAATTTCAGGAAATGTGAGTGAAAAAATAATTAAAACAAAAATACAAAAAAGTACCAAAACATGTTCAAATTATATTAGTTTTCTCTGCTTATATGACTTATCTTTATAAAGCCAATTTGAATGAATACAAACAAGTTCCACTGTCTACCTCATAATCCAGATCCAGGTAATCAAATTCTCCATTGGTTCTGAAGTGCTGCATGTGTCTGTCCAGGGTGAGATTGATGTTTCTCCCGTGGCGCTCTATGATGATGGAGTGCCAGTGGTGATCGTCCAAGAGGCTGCCTGTCATCACGGATGTGTGGCCATAAATAGAGCCAAGCTGGTTGCTGCCTAAAATGAGAATAGAGACAACAGCAATTCTCACCTCATAGCAGTTAGGCAAACATTTTCCTCTTGCTCTGTCAGTATTTCACCTGAATCATACCAGGCACACAAGAAGCTGGAGTAAGTCAGTTCACTATAAAGCTAAGATCTGCCCAGTGGAGAGTAGCTGCCATAAATACAAATAGCTAGACCAAATGCAGCAAGTATCTGATCAGTGAGCAGTGTAAGCAGGTTTTTGTAATAGTAGTCATTTGGAGGCGAACCAGAGAAGCAATCCCGCCTTTTAGCTGTAAAGTTGTTTTCAGTCAGAGGTTTTCTGTGTTTTCATCCCTACACGACAGAAATGAAAAGATGTCAACTTTGGGCCAGGTCTTGAGCTTTCCTGGAACTGTACTGATTTATGACTGCTGAGGAAGACATGGTGCCAGATAACAAGACACTTTGTAGACTCTGCCAGTATAGCTATACCAGAGAGCATGTAGGAAAAGTCTCAAAGCAGACTGAACTAACAGCTGTTAAAAAAATGTCTTCACAGAATCATAGAATGGTTTGGATTGGAAGTGACCTGAAAGATCATCCTGTCCAACACCCCTGCCATGGGCAGGGACACCTTCCACTAGCCCAGGTTGCCCAAAGCCCTGTCCAACTTGGCCTTGAAGCCTGCCAGGGAGGGGGCAGCCACAGCTTCTCTGGGAAACATGTGCCAGTGTCTCACCTCCCTCACAGGAAAGAATTTCGTCCTTCTATCTAATTTAAATCTCCCCTCTTTCAGTTTAAAACTGTGACCCCTTGTCTTATCCCTACACTCCCTGATGAAGAGTCCCTCCCCAGCTTTCCTGTAGCCCCTTTAATTACTGGGAGCTTGCTATAAGGTCTCCCCAGAGCCTTCTCTTCTCCAGGCTGAACAATTCTCTCAGGGCTCAGGGGAGTGCTCCAGCCCCCTGATCATCTTTGTGGCCTCCTCTGGACCCACTCCAGCAGGTCCGTGTCCTTCTGATGTTGGTGCCCCCAGAGCTGGACACAGCACTGCAGGGGGGGTCTCAGGAGAGCAGAGTAGAGGGGGAGAATCCCCTCCCTCACCCTGCTGGCCACACTGCTCTTGATGCAGCCCAGGCCACGGTTGGCTTTCAGGGCTGCAAGCGCACATTGCTGGCTCACAGTCAGTTTTCCATCCACTAATACCCCCAAGTCCTTCTTTGCAGGGCTGCTCTCAACCCACTCCTCACCCAGCCTGTATTTGTGCTTGGGATTGTCCTGACCCACGTACAGGATCTTGCACTTGGCCTTGTTGAACTCCATGAGGTTTGCACGTCCCACCAATCCAGCCTGTCCAGGTCCCTCTGGATGGCACAGCCCTTCCCTTCAGCGTGTCGGCCGCACCACACAGCTTGGTGTCGTTGGTGAACTTGCTGAGGGTGCTCTCAGTCTCACTGTCCATGTCACCAACACAGATGTTAAACAGTGCTGTTGCCAACAACGATCCCTGAGGAATGCCACTCTTCTCCTAACATAGCTTATTTCAGTCCTTCCTCCTGCAGCAACCTTCCTAGTCTGGAAGTCAAACTACTAGTAAGAGTACAGTTTTGCAATTCTCTGCTGTGTTTTCCAGGGGATTTTGCCATTGCAGCTATGCCAGTCAGAGATCACATCTCATTGCAATCTGACTGACATAGCTAAGCCAGCAAAGGTTGATAGCATGGATCTCAGCTGAAGCAGCAAATGACTAATTCAGCAGTAAGTTTAAAAAATTGCCGCACTGCCCAATAACTCGGTGCAATCTTCCATGTTCTGAATACATGAGAACCTAAAGCATTTCTGAAGCTGAGAATTTCTTACCATCAAGCAAGCCTGCAACTCAGACATTAAGATTTGTGCATGTTGATAACACATTCTGGCAAATCACACTTCCATGGCTTAAGACATTACTCCCCTACAAATGACCACACTGACTTTTTCCTGAAGGCCATGGATCCTTCAACAGCTGTTGGTTAAAAAAAAGAAAAAAAAATCCATGCATGTCCATAAGCCTCAGTTTCTTCAATACAAAGTCAAATCTAGTACAAAGTGAAACGTAAATCCAGCCCCCTGCTTCCCCACTCTCCCAGTATCTGAAACTAAGTCAATGGACTTCACCAGGAAAAATGAACACCCTTTTCCACTGATTCTGGTGCAAAGACAACACTCTCAGGCAGAGGAAGAATAACACCATAAACCTTAACTTCTATTTATTATGTGTGTCACAGGGCCTACTCGCATTTATCAGCCTAGTGATTTAAGAACATCCCCACCAAACACATACATGGAAGCTATAACAGCTTATAGAAACAGTCTGAGGAATATGGATAAAACTGGAAATGAATGGGTTAGTATTTTAATTGCAATTAAAATTGTTAAAAATAGATAGCTGCTGTAGGAAGATGTGCTTTCCTCCTCCTCATCTGCTCAGATTGATCTTCAGAAAAAGAGCAGGAGAAAATGCTAGTGGAAATAATTACTATTCAATGTAAATAATGAACAGAATAATTTACTCTTCACATATCTATAAGAGAATTAAAGAAAATTACTTGAAATCTTTTTCCAAAACTCTTTTGTTTAAAGGAAAAAGAAAATACCTGAAACAAGATGAAAATGGCTTTTTTTTTTTCATAATAAATGTACTTTATAAATCTGGTCAGTCATGCGCCTGTAGTCTTTCACTGGGAGGGAAAAAGGAGGCTGAAACTAGAGTAATATATACAGAATTCCATTATTTCCTGATGAACTGGTATGTCTTTTTTCTTTTCCTAATCCTGCTTCTCAGAGGCCAGGAAGGCTGCCGAACCTCAAATTCATGTGGCCCTGTAGCTTCCCAGATTGACACCTTTTTTGCTGCAAGGTTCCTAAGAGTGACCTTAATTCCTCTAGCACCGATCACAGTATCCTTCTCTCACAGAGAGTCACAGCTGAGGCCAAATAGAATTCTAGCAAGGCTCTGTTTGTTTGTAGAAAGTTTTTAGTGACAATATATTGCTGGTCCTGTCATTCTGTATGATCTTATTCTCATGGTATCTCCCATGGAGTAAAAAGGAAAGAGTGACACAGAAAAAAAAAACATATAGAAAGGGAATGAACAACATTTTTACCAAATTATCTGATCTAATGAGGTGGCTTACCATAGTACTGGGGAAAAAATGATGTAATATTTGACCTAAAATTTTTGTGGAAGAGGTAAAAAGCACACAAAACTAAACAATCAAAGCATACCTAAATTTAAATTTAGAACAAGTTTGGCTTTCTTCAGTTCCAAGGTGATATAGTCTCCTTGCTGTCCTTCTCCGTGGAAGATTACACCTTCGCTTTCAGAGGTCTTAAATTTCAGAGAAATGACATCTTTCAGTGTTTTCATTTTCTTGTTCCTGAATCTGTATGGTAACACGACATGGCCATCAAAATTGATAACATCAGCCCCTAAAGGAAAAAGAAAATAACATTGTTGATGAGCGATTATACATTCCTGTGGCCACTAGAAAAACAAACATGCCATATGTAGATTGTACCTGAACAGAATAAAAAATGTGCAAGCATGATATGCACTGTAAATAGATTTTCTCTTGACCATAATTTAATACTATAAAAAGTAGGAACCAGGCAGGACGTAAATTTAATCCACAGAATAAAAAAAGAACAGATTCAGGAGGACAAATACTACAACTGTACTCAACATCTTTTGTTTTCTCTCAAATATAGTTGCTGCCATGCACACATTCCTAATTACAGTTGAAAAACTTCTGAGTGATTATTTTTGCCTACTGTGGGCTGCTCTTCAGTAGGCTGCTTGAAACTTTTAAAAATTCTTTACTTGCTTTTGCTATTATGGTGGGAAGTAATTTAAGTTTTTCAGATTCCCTCAAAAACAGAGAAGCAAACCCACTGCTGCTGTGTAACTAACACAGAAGAATCTGCAAAATGCCGTTAAAACACTTTGTACACTAAGTCTAAATAATTGCATATATTTAAATTTGAATTTATATGGCTAGATTAGCTGATTATGCTAAGACCCGTTGCTTTTGTTCTTACAACATATGCCAGACACATTTAAACAGTGTTTACTTTCAACTAATCTAATATTTTACACCCTGATTCAGAGAAGAAGCAAACATGTACATTGATCCCTGTCTTGAGAATTTAGGAGTCACCAAAATGGTCTCCTGAGTCAATTTTTACTGCTGTAAAAATTTTTACTGCTGAGGACACACCTCAGCTGCTATCAAAGAACTTATGTGTAGCATTTGTATAGGTTGCTTTTTCACATGCTATAATTTCCAGAAATACTTATTACAATGATGTAAGAGCTATTTGAGTGTCAAAGAAGAGCATTCAATCAAACTTCATGATGTTTAGTATTTATTTTCTAGAGAAAAGTATGTAAAACCACAACCAATATTTCATTAATTATTTCTATTTCATTGTTCAGTCAAAAAATCCACAATCCATCTTGTATTCATCAACTAAGACACACCCAGTTGAGACTGAGGCTTGTAGTCATGTTGATTAAATGCCTATTCATACATTCTTACATCACCGAGCATAGCAAGATTTCAAATATAAAGACCAACACATTATGCTTCCATTATTCGGGATTTTTTCCCCACAAATCACTACTATAATAAATAGTGCTGTACTACTTCCAGGTCATTTGTTTTGCTGACACCGTGATTTTCTGCATGTTGATGATTATGTGTTATCTGTTTCTGGTTAATATAAACATTTCTCCTCTGTACATCTTTAATAAATCTGTATATATAATCACAATATGCTCATTATCCTCAATTGACACAAACTGTTGACTCTCTAGGGATTATTACAGAGTGCAGAGATTAAGTACTTTGCTACCTTGCAGAAACTATGTTTACAGTTCCTAAGACGGATATGGGGGAATCACGACAGTGGACAGTTGTTGACCTACAGGTCCACCTAATTTACACTAAAGACAAAATTATGGATCTTGGCACAGCATGGATCATCAGAGCTTGTGATTTTACCTTCACAATGCTGCTGCTCTTTAAGATTGAGAGTTTTAGAGATAAGTAATGCTTTCTGTAAACCAGCATAAAGTATAGGTATTTCAGAGTCTACCTGAGATCAAAATGTAAGACATGCTATCTCATACTCAACTCATACTCACACATTGGCTCAGATGCAAAGGCGAGTATTAATGCAAGGAGCATTAAGCATGTCAAAAAAAAGCTGTGTTAAACTTGGAAAGTAAGTCTAATCACTCTGCTTAGCTTTTCAAGTTAGAGCAGAAAAAAGTCATAGAAATAAACTTTCTCTATTCGCAACAAAGACTCCACAAAATTCCTTCTGTGGGAGTCAAAGAGATCTAGAAGACTGAGGAGGCGGATTCTATAATGCAAGTGTCTTCGTGTCTCCATAAGACATCTCTTTCCTTTCTAAAAGATTAATAGGCATATGCAATGCATTTCTGTTCCACACTAGTTTTTTAACATAGTTGAATTGGTAGCAGCTGACTATCATCAAACAAATGGGTAATAGTCCCTGAAAGATTTGAAGGCTCTTTCCAATGGCCAAGATTTATTTATTCTTTTTAATGCCTAGACTTTTTAATGGATCACATTGAAACATTACCATGTCTATGGAAAGGAAGTCAAAGGGAAGAATTTTAAATTTCTGAATTTTGAGTTCAAACCACTTCTTCAAATTATATAGAACCATATGCTGAGTCTTCCATAGCATTCCCTCAACCTTAATTACCAGGCTAGAAATAACCTGTGCCATCTCAGTGTAACAGTGCCAAGCTGGTGAAGACGGTGTTAAACTAAAGTTGCTGGGGAAGGAGAATTTCAATCCATCCCACTCCTACCAGTTTGATGCCCAGAGGCTGGAGAGGGATCACAAGGCATCAGAAGAGCACCTGAAGAGCAGCACAAGGGAATTCTAGCCAGTAAGTCAGCTTCATCAGAAGCCTAACTTAAATGCCTCTATGTAAATGCATGTATCTATCTATGTAAATGCACATATCATGGGGAACAAGAGGAGTTGGAGATGTGTGCACACCTACAGAGCTATGATCTTACTGGCATTACAGAGACATGGTGGGATGACTCCTATGACAGGAGTGCTGGAATGGAAGGACACAGGCTCTTTAGGAAGGAAGGCAGGGGAAATGGGGGGTGGGAGTGGGGAGGTGGGGGAGGTGTTGCCCTCTATATCAGTGACCAGCTGGAGTGCACGGAGTTCTGCCTGGACATGCGTGAGGAGGCAACCGAGAGTTTATGGGTCAGGATTAAAGGGAGGGCAGAGACGTGATGTTATAGTGGGGGTCTGCTATAGGCCCCCTGACCATGAAGATCAAACTAATGAGGCCCTCTATAGACAGATAGGAGCAGCGTCACATTCACAAGCCCTGGTCCTCATGGAGGACCTCAACCACCCTGATATCTGTTGGAGGGACAACACAGCAGGGCACGAGCAATCCAGGAGGTTCATGGAACGCTCGGATGATAACTTCCTTCTCCAAGTGATAGAGGAGCCAACGAGGAGAAGTGCTGTGCAGAACCTTGTTCTCACCAGCAAGGGGGGGCTGGTGGGGAATGTGAAGCTCAAGGGCAGCCTTGGATGCAGTGACCATGTAATGGTGAAGTTCAAGATCCTTGGGGCAGCGAGGAGGGCGCACAGCAAGCTCGCTACCCTGGAGTCCAGGAGAGCAGATTTCGGCCTCTTCAGGGATCTGCTTGGCAGAGTAGCGTAGGATAAAGCTCTGGAGGGAAGAGGGGCCCAAGAGAGCTGCTTAATATTCAAGGATCACCTCCTCCATGCTCAGGAGCAATGCATCCCAACAAAGAGGAAGTCAGGCTGTGAGACACAACTTGTGAAAATAGGTCCTGAAAGAAACAGCCCTGCAAGAAACAGACTGAGAACAACAGCCTGTGAAAGAGATAAAGGATAGCAGGGGGAGTGGAGGCCCTCCGAGCTAAGGAATGTCTCAGACATTCACAAGTAATGAAACTATAGTTATAGGGTGGATAGTGTGGAGTTCGAAGTGGATAAGGCTGCCCGAATAACACAGGATGCAGCTGGAGGGGGGATCCCTGTGGAGACAGACTGGTTCTGCTCTGGGGCACCTGGTCGAATTTCAAGGGCCATGTGTCCGGTGAATGAACTTTGCTTCATTATCCACAAAATGCATATTAAAGTTAACACCCCTGACTATGCTAACGAAGGCTAACAAGATCATGTTAATTACATCATCGCATAAATCACCTTACCCCTCCCCATATATGGGATATGTAGGTATGTGGGTCGACCTAGGGGATGGACCCAAGGAAAGTGGGTATAAATTGAAGGGGGGTGGGGGG